ATATAAGTTACAGGTTATAATAAAAAGTGTCTACATGATATGCATGTAAATGTGAAAAAATCATATTTCATTGTGTTGTACCTCCATCTAGTTCTTGCTTAAAACTTTTTTGACCAAACACATTTTCTGCACTTTGCTAGATTTCCAGGAAGTTAGGAACCTTATGAAATAGTGTAGGCGCTTCAATGCAAGGATGTAATAGATTTATTGTGGATTTCATGAACCTATAATGAAGTGGATGTTTGATTTTCACTCATAAGATAAAACCAATAAATGTGTTATTACATGTAAGTAGGTAAACTTTCACATTAATATCATCTTAAATGAAATATATGGTAAAAAAATATATAACCATGATAATTGGCTTAAAATTTTATATTCACATATATTATGTAATGATGTCAGTCTTATCATCTGTGGGATAAAATATGTGAACACAAATAGGAAAAAAATATATATACAACTCATATGGTATGTGTTTTAATTTCTTAACTGATTTCTTAACTTTTGACATTGTGTGTCTGTCTTGTCCAAATGTTTGTATAATTTGTATTCCTTGACCAGAATTAATAAAGAATACATGTCTATACATCTTAAATTACAATGATAAATCATAAACATTTTGTATGAAGTGTACTACGGGGCACCGAAAGGGACTTGAACTTTTTGTAATCAAATTAATTTTGTGTACACAAAATTCAATTCTGTCATAACAAAATCCTTTGTGTCTCACAAAACTATGTGATACAGACTTGTTTTATGAGAACTTCAATTTTGTAATTACAAAATTCATTTTTTGTAGACAAAATTCATTTTTGTAGACAAAATTCATTTTTGTCGACAAAATTCATTTTTGTTATGACAAAATTCAATTATAAATATAAATTAATTTGCATACACAATTGACTTTCGTGACACAAAATTGACTTTTGTGTTGTGTTAAATTTTCACTTCTGTTTAACAAAACTCATTTTTGTCTACACAAAAATAAACACAAAATTGAATTTTGTGACAAAATCTCAGTTTTGTATGCAAATTAGTTCACAGAATCCAAACTAAACTAATTTGCATACAAAATTGACTTTTGTCGCCCAATTTTCAAATTAGGTAACAAAAGTAAAGACTGTGATACAAAAATGAATTTTGTCATGACAAAAGTAACTTTTGTCCACTGAAAGATAATTTTGTATGACAAAATATTAATTTGTAGTATGCTACAAATTTTGTTAAACTGAACTCATTTTTGTTCAACAAAACTCACTTTTGTCCGTACACAATTGAATTTCGAGTACAAAACCACAAGAGTCCCGTTCGGCGCCCCGTATGTACAGCTAAAATAGTAGTTCGTAAGGAAGAACCCTATGGGTATTAACATTAATGTATAATGGAGTCCCTTGTTTACAGTTCCATTGACTCTTCCAAAAAGGAATAGGTCTAGACTTTATGGCTGTTGAAATCTCTCACTTTCTCAGTCCCACTGGCACTGAAGAAGGGGTACAACTTTGAGTTGCAAATATTATGGTGGAACAATATGTAATCAGGTGTCGATGGAATACTATACATCTACATAATGCTTCTTGACTTCAATATGATTGAGATTATAAGAAGGCACATGCTAGGGAATTTTTTTATTATGAATGATGTATGTCACTTTTGAATGCGAATTTGTTTTCCAAAAAGAGAACATAAAAATTCTGTGACGTCACAAATATTCATACTTGGTATTTAGATGGAATAACGTATCCAACAGTGTGTGAAAAATTAAAAGTAAAAGTAAATAAATATTCTAATCTATATTAACATTTTTGTGAAACTAAAATGCCATGAATTTATCAAAACCCATAACGCCAATAAAAACGAATACTATGTTTCAAAGAAAACATCAGTGCACAAAATACTACATAGGAAACTAAAGATTCAACTATACAGCAACTCCAACAAAAACCACAAGGAGCGAACTTATGTCCTCTTGAAGGGTCAAAGGTCCCAGCTTACTAGTGAAACCCACCGCGTCTCAACTGTAAAGTTAAGTTGATACGTCCTATTTGCTGACTTGTTTTCACACAACAGCAGAATGGCAATGCATCATATCGAACTCTCAGAAATGATCAAATACACAACCCCATCGGTAATATTCCTTCACACTAAAACATAACCAAATGTTAAAGATTGAAAAAAGTATGAAAAAAAGACTGTTATCCAATAAAATCAACACAGACATATAAAATTAGTGTACAACAAAATACAGCACATAAGACAAAAGTTAACGAAAAAAGAACCCCTTTGAAACCAAACTAGGGATGAACTTAGGTTCTCTTGAATGGTAAGCAGATTCTACTGTACCAGTCGTGGTATTCGTTGTGTTACTCAATGCAGGTAAACTTTTGTGGTAAGTCGCAGTCGGTGATGTGATGGCAGTCAATGAAAAGAGAACGCGATAGCAGCTCAAAAAGTGGAACATATTAGCGATCATATTTGTGACACAGATATTCAATAACGGTCAACCAAATCGTGATGGCGTCCGTTAATCTTTCGATGTGATGATTTCGACTTTACAATTTGAAATCCTTAGTTCATTAGATTCCTTGTAAGCAGGAACCCTCTATGACGGAAATCATGATATGGAACTCAAGCTTTGGAAGTTGCACTTCTGTAAATTAAGACAATGTAATTTCCCATAGGAACTCCTTTTACGGCTAAAACTGTGATAATTTTTCTATGAAGTTTCGTAAAAAAATATATCCTAGAATGGAAAATTCATATGCATTATATATTTTCAACATTTATATGCCCCGAACTTCAAAGAGTTTAATTTATACTTAATTTCTGTACTACCCTCTACCTTCACGTTGAGTCTTTCTCAGAATTTGGCCGCTATTCATGTGTAAAGTAAATATAAGCACTTCTTAACAATTCAAATTACATATATGCCTATATTATGAATAAACTTTGCATACAGGGCTTTAAGTAAACTATGCATACTGTAATCTGTGAATTTATGCTGGGTCATCATAGTTAAGGCCCAGAATTTTCTCAATCTTCATGAAATATTTATAAAACTTTATATTTGAGTTGATTTCATTAAAATATCTGAAGATAAACCAGATATGTTGGAATTCTCCATGTTCTCTTATTTTCTCCAATATAGATTGCACTTCTGTAACAGTAAATAAAGACAATGCAATTTCCCATAGAAACTCCTTTTACTGCTAAAACTGTGACAATTTTTTTTATGAAGTTTAAAAAAAGATATATTCTAGAATTGAAAGTTCATATACATTTCTATTTTTTTCAAAGGTCAAAACATAGTGCTTTGCGGCATATTTTCAACATTTATGCTCACCGAACTTCAAATAACAGTTTAAATTTATACTAAAATTCCGTCACTTTGGGTCTTTCTCAGAATTAAATTTGGTCGTTATCCATGTGTTTTTATACTGGTAACATTCCTTAGTTATTCCTCTATGAGATGAAACATAGAGATCATATCTGGGAACTAATACGTAAACAAACAAAATATTAATGAATATTATATATCTTTCCAAAAGAGGCGTGGTTTTCGAAATAGCTGTATTTACAAAGTGAAACCTATAATATGGTATCAACGATTAAATTACTACATATGAAGGCGCGGTTTGAATGTCAAAAATGGGGATAATATCGTATAGTTTAGTTCTCAACCGACCCTCATTGCCAATATTTAAATGTAAGTCAACATGAAAGGCAGATTTAAGTGTATTTGTTTCAAGAGTGATCACATAGTCACAACACTTTTTATAGATTAACTTGAAGTTAGTAATTAATGCGAGCTTCTTTCATTTTTCTTTAGATAAACAAACATACGATAGATAGTTTGTTCCAATAGGAATGCACCGTGTTGAAAACACGTCCTCAAAACGTAAGAGATTCATGTATGCTGACACTAAAAAATCAATTATGAATGAGTGTTTTGTTTTACAAAGTACATGTTTAAGTTTGTCCTTCCTAAATAAAGGCGACAGTTGACCGATGTTCAAATCTCGTTAATCGATTGAAAAGAATAAAAATCAAGCTAATAAACTGAGGAAATCAGATGCATTTTAAAAGGAGCGAAACAGGGTAAGCGTATCCTGCTATACACTCAGCCAAATGTCACAATCGGTTAAATTACATATCAGACGACGTTATTGAGTTGAGACACCAAAACAAGACGTTTGTATCTACGTTGGTCATTTTTTTTATAAAACAAAGTTGTATTTATTAATTAAATCTGTCTATGTTTATAATGAGAAGTTTTGTAGCATTTTTAGAGAACTCTTTTGGTTGAGACTATTGCACGAGGAAAGAGGCCTTGACTGTTTGTACTCAAACAGATATTTGAATTTTTTGTGTTTCTATATGATTCACGTCGCCCCTAGAGTGGGTTCAGTCGAAGTAATTCCGAAATTCGGTTTTAATTAATCGTAAAATAAATTTTAATAATTTGGAAAGAGATTAAATGGAGAATTCGGCAGAACCAGCAATATATTGTGTCAGAACACTTATTTGATTAAGGTATCCAGTAGAGTGAGGAAAGATCAAGTTCTTCGTCATTTGTTAAAATTTCAAGTTACATGACACAGACCAGATTTGATTGCTCAGAAATTCCTTATTATATTATTATAAAGTACCTTAGGGTATATGCTGGTTTCCATAATAAATTATCAGTACCTTAATTCCGTATCTAGCAGTTAGTATAATGTGATATACAAACAAATGCAAATATTCCCAATTAGAAACAATTTCATGTGATCTGTACGAATATTTTTTCCGTTTCATTCATAATTATGTTTGCTTTGAGTTTCTTTTCCTCTGTTTGTACACCATGTGTCCAGAGGTGTTTTAGTGTTAACATAATTAATAGTTCAGGTATAAATTATTGAATCTAAAAAGTTCATCAAACTATAATAAATCATTGTTTTGAAAGGATTGACTTTAATCAAATAGTTGTCATGGCTTTTAACATAATATGAAGGAATAGACAATGTACAAATATATTTAATGTCCGACCTGAACAAATAACATACATACATTTATCTTTGATCACCTGGAATTTCAATCATATCGAAAAAACGACCTTGTAAGCGTACATTTAATTATAAGCAGAAACATATGCATTATTTGTATCTGCTTTAAGAAAATGTACAGAACGCATCTCAAAATTAGGTTCACAATTTATTTATCTTGGTAATTACAAAAGTAGTTTAAGGTCAGATATTTATCATTAGAACATCAAAACATCCTAAAATTAAAATGATTAATTCCGCACCGTTTCAATTGTAACTGTGGAGGGAATTACTTTCTGAAAAATATAGATAAAAAGAGAGAGTCCTTTTCTTTCTTATTTAATCTCATCTGACTGCTATAACTTAAGTTGGATAATGTAAGATCTTAATAGAGCCATCAGCTATTGTATGACACTTTATGAAGTAAAAGCAAATGACCTGTTCACCAAAATAATAAAGTTTCAGATTAGAATTTATAACAATGTAATACATAATGAACAAGGCAATAATAATAGTGTCTGTGAAAATATTTCATCTGTGACGCATAAGATCCGTTATGGTAAACTATGTACTGAATGCCTCCGTAAAACATTCAATAGCTTCCACATTAAAAGCAACATTAGGGTGCAATCAACAGTTTTTTTCTATGACGTCATATTTTGAGGGACCATGCATAAGTGACCCTTAGTGGTGGAATAGTTAATAAAGATACTTGTATAAAACTAGATATCACTGGAATCAAAATTTTCTCTAGTTTATAATGAAATAAAAATAAAGTCTACTTTTAATATAATAAAAAAGTTCTTTTCAGAGAACATGGGGGAAAAATTGCTTAATCTGAACATAAAAAACCTGAAATCAGGTCATGTGCATACCCATGTAGACATGATACAGGCACATTTCACATAATCAAAACTGTATAAAATTTATAGGTTTTAACCTGGCCTTTCAAAAAAATCTCGCTTCAGGGTACGGTTTCCTGCTTCGAAAAGAGCTACAGTGGCTGCGACTAAGTTTTCAATTTTCACTGCCAAAAAAACAGGATGTTTACAGTGTTGTCTCCCCTCCAAACATGTATTTTTAATCTAATTTTTAAAATTATTTTAATCATTCAACCTGTTTTACTTGAAAGCTAATTAACTAATTTTTACAATCAAATACAAAAAACATGATACTTTTTCACCAATTAAGTAAATAAAAAGGGATTTCCCTCCATGGTTATTTTTAGTCGGGGAATAACCCCTAGTTTTTTATACGAAACTGTTTATAGCACCCTTATATTAATAAGATTTAAACAGAAAAAAAAGGTATCACAAAAATACTGAACTCCAAGGTAAATTCAAAAAGGGGACGCCATAAAATTTGACAAAATCAAACGTTATCAACCAACGGAACGAGTGGAAACAACTGTTATATTCCTAACTTGGTAAAGGCGTTATTTTAAAAAGAAAATAGAGCGTAAGAACTGGTTTTTATTTAGCTAAGCCTCCTACTTGTATGGCAGTTGTTTATAGTTGTGTTATATTGACAAAATTGGATGAGCAACCCAAACAGACAAAATTCGTCAACGTCCGGCAGCCAAAACTGTGTAAAAATACTCGCAGACATACATCAGTGGTTGTCGTTTGTTGCTGTATAAGATATTTGTTTTTTCGTTTATTGTCTTGAATATAAATCAGGCTGCTAGTTTTCTCGTTTGAAATGCTTTACATTTGTCATTTTGATGCCTTTATAACTTACTTTATGTGATGGGTTATGCAAAGTGTTGATAGTACATAATATATAGTAAAACATATCTTTACAAACACTTTCCTTATAATTGGGATCCAGCAGCGAAAATTGTGTAAACATACATCACAGACAATCAAACAAACTTGCTTCAAAATTCAAACAAACATACAAATAAATCTGACAAAGACGTCAACAAAAAAGTTTAAGTAGTCGATAGCACATACAGAACATTTAAACATAATTTCATATACACTTTTTCGATAAAGTACAAATTAAGTAAAATATAAATACAAGGGTATTCAAAGTGAAAACAACGCTATAAAACTTCAAGCGTCCGAGTCTTACCTCTGGACCCGCAGATTATCATAACACTGCTGTCGAAGAATCATTTTGCAAACCCTGCATGATAATTTTCCTTTTGGACTGCACCATGGTTTTAACATTGTGAAATGCAACAGTATACAAGTATTTCCATTGGAATTATCATCAAATATGGTTTTTTTTCTGACGGTTTATTTTATGAATTTTTCAATTTATCTCAATCTACTACATATCTCAAAATGACAAAAAGTTAAATACCATGTGTAACGTTCGCTTGAATGGGGAATATTTCATTTTATATGCAGAATTCCCGGAAAAACGCAGATTATCTCAGTTTCATGCAAGTATATATAGTGAGCCCACCCATGAATGATTAAATTGATAAAATCCTGGTTAAAGTAAGATCAACTTGAATCATTAATAAAATCCATTTAATAGGACTAGTCATGGACTTCCTGCGTCATTTATACTGATAAGCGATGAACAAAAGTATCAATCACAAAGTTTCTGTAATGACATTATCAAGTGTTAACTTAATCGGACCGGTCATTAGAATGTCGTAGCCATGATCTTTTTCAGTTTGATTACACTTTTCTAAAGGTTGGTAAGGGTTTAAATAATCAATACCATCGTTTTTATCATTTTTGTCGTTATCCGATCCTGATGACGAATACGTTTCTACATGAACCATTGCAAATATTTCAGTTTCACATCTTATTGAACTATCAATTATTGGTTTACTAGGTGTTAGATAGCCTTCGTCGGTTTCTTGGGTGCCAGAAATATGGGCATGACTATCAAAACTTTCCGGTCGGCTGTTCTCGTATGGATGTTTGTCAACACTCGTTGTAATTTGTCTGCAGTAAGGTGGTGGGTAACTCGCTGTTCCTCCTTTGTCGTTTTTAATACTGTCTGAACCTGATGATTCGTTCACTACTTCTAAGTATGGATTGTCATTGGTACTTGAAACTAAAATTTTATCTTCATCAATGGTGTGGTATAATCCTTCGCTCAACTCAAATGCCTCGTGACTTTCATTTGGAGGATCGTTTTGAGTTATATCCTCATCTAACGTCACAGATGATTTTGATTTTTTTCTTCTAGTATTATATTTCTTGCATAAATAGCGGATTCCAAGTATCAGTATAACACCGGTTACAGAAGCTGAGTATATGAGTAGTTCTAACTGAAACCCTGTAAAATAAAGCAAATAGATATTTTTGTATAATCAAGTTTTGTGATCTGGTAATAAAACAAGACTCTTTTTTACCTCTATTTTGAGAACTTTTTCCCGATTCTTTGATAGTATTAGTTCCACTAGTCGTGAGTAGCGGTAGTCATTTAAAATTTTTAGATCTGACTTGTTCTTCGATAAACGTATATGGGAGAATATATGAGCAAGTTTTCCAAAGACAATGTGTATCATTATTATAATTTATTAGACAAAATGTTGCCGCCAAATGAAAAGCAAAATGTATTTTTCGTTTTGGTATCATTGTAAGCAATCCTCTCGCTAGTCATATATTTTTTGGTAAGTTGTTACAAAGTTGATATTTTATTGTTCTCTAAAACTCTTTTAAATAAAATATAAAAAGGGTGGTATACGGGGAATTTCAAACTAGGAGTCAACAATACAATAACAGAATTAAAACAAAATATTATACATCAAACTGTCACAGGTTCCTAGACACCCAGTCTCTATCCATTATTCATTAAGTCAAAAGTTTGTAACATTTAAAAAGAAAAAGAAAAACCTTTTTGGTATGATTCATTTAATTTCTTATTGGCGAAGTCGAATGCGAATTTTAATTTTGTGTATAAGTTCATTTTCCGTAATTTGGTCACTACAAAGGCTAACTGGAACAAAATTTATGTGTAACTCCAACTTATTTGTAAATATCAAGACGCAATTATATATAAAGAAACATAATATATGCACATGCATAGACAATTAAAACAAAACAAAAATGAATGTGTTAGCTTTAAATTAGAGCACAAGAACCATAATAAGGAAAAGGTACGTAAATTTGAATGAAATTCATATCCAAATTTGTTACTACTTATCATGCAAATATAAATAAAAAAAAGGTAATTTTTTTCATCAAAATCACAAAAAAAAAATTGTTTGCTTTCCACTTCTATTGTCTTTCAAAAAAAAACGGCAGCCATGATTACCAATTGGAGGATATCAGTGATACCGTTTTCAATTTAACTACTCCTAGAATTATTGAGGCGATGTGTGCTGTAAATCAACTGATTTGTTTCACATGTCTGGTTTTTTTTGTCGGCTGAGGACACACCCTTATTGGTCATGGCAAACGAAACTCAAATAGGACAACTGAGATACTAATGATAAAACGTTCATTTCTTGTTTTGTTAAGCACTTGTACATCGGACTACTTAATTGTTGAATTATGTAAAATTGAAGTTAGTTGTAAAGACTATGTAGTAATTCCATGTGGCTAATTCGTTTTTTTATTTAATAAAAAAAAAATAAGAATTGTTATTGGTGGTACAGGTCGTGGATATTTTTCAATTTATCGAAGTGACTACCCCTCCTCATTTGCTGAACAATGTTTTTATTCTTAATCCGGATTTAACCTATCAACGAAACCTGACGAATGTGGTTGTCGTTGATTAATGTCTGTCATAATTGTTTTTCGTAAATTGTTTTGTTATAAATTAGGCTGTTTTCTCAATTGAATTGTTTCATATGTTACATGTTGGGGCCTTTTATAGCCGATTATACGGTATTGGTTTTTCTCATTGTTCGAAGGTGGTATGGTTGCCTATAATTGCTTACGTCCACTTCATTTGAATTTTGGTGGATAGTTGTCTCATTGGCAATCATACCTCATCTCCTTATTTTTATATAAGTTACTGTGTAGTCTTTTGTGGAATAGTGTTTGTGTTTATTTTCTTTATTCCTTATGTTGTTTGTCTTCCCACTACTACTTAATGTCGTGAGAAAGCCTTTTGAATCTTCTTACGTTTTTTCTAGTATTCAAAACCCGATAACTGTTGACTGACTTTTATTTGTTACTGCAAGATACAATTCATTAATCATTATCACTGTAAAGTTTCAATAAATCCTAATTGTCATGTCGTGACAAATTTTTTACAAATACATAATGCCAAGAATGTTTACATACTACAGTAAATACAGTTAAATGGATTAACTATGACAAACGATTTGGCTTAGTGAAGGTCATAGTTTCGAAAGGATATCTTCAAAAGACTTTTTTATTACACAAATTCGACCACTTGTAGGAATTTCGCACTTGCAAAATACATTGTACATTGCTACCCCCGTTTCGTATCAATAATGCTTTTAAATTTGTACTGGCCAGGAAGATTTCATATGAAAAAAATAACAATCGGTAACTGGTTGATTATGAAACAACTTGGTAAGAGGTATTTCAGGGAGAAAAAATACGTGCATCTAAATCTTTAATGGGTCCTTAATGCTCTTAAACTTCGTCATTTTTTGGCCTTTTTAACCTTTTTTATTTGAGGGTCATTGATGAGTCTTTTGACTGCTGTACCACAATTTTTAACAATTTTACATGTTATGTCCATCTGATTTGCTTACACATTGTTGTCAATATAATGAAATTCTATGCGACTGTCATACAATTGAGAGGTTTAGCTAGCTATAAAACCAGGTTTAATCCTCCATTTTCTACATATGATAAGGAAATGTCTGTAACAAGTCAGGAATATGACAGTTGTTTTCCATTCCTATGATGTGTTAGAGCTTTTGATTTTGCCATTTGATAAATGACTTTCCGTTTTTGAATTTTCCTTGGAGTTCGGTACTTTTGCAATTTTTTTCAATCCTTGTACATATGAGTTTTTTTACCTTACAAATAATTGGCTTTTAGCGTAGCAGTTTTACTCCTGAAAAGCGTTTCGGAGGCATACAATTTATAAAATGTTGTTTTCATTTTTTAACAGAAAGGTATTATCCTAATAAGGTCTTTTAACCGAGAGCTATAGATACGTTTTTTATTATTTGCTTTCGATATATGATTCTGACTTTAAAGTTTGTAAATATGGATTAAAAGCCGACGAGAAAAGGCATCATAAGACTAACGAAGGATATATTTCGTTTAGCATTAATAGCATTCTTGATCTATGTCGCCGAACATGGGGAGAGTATGCACAGTTACAAAGCTGTATTACAACTGTGTTATACATGATGTGTGTTCCGTTGGAGTCAGATAACTCACTGTATGCACCATCAACTTAGTAGTTACATGACTACCTGAAGCAAAACATAATTTTAAAATTTGCAGAAATCAGAGATTTATTCGACCATGCATATATTATATGTCTTTGTAAACAAAATAAGGAACCAGCTAGGTTTGGTGTATTTCAACTTTACTTACGTGTATACATTTCTTGCAAGATCTTTAACAAAATAGAGACCGGGACAATCATAACAAGTAAGTCAAAGAAACAAAAAAGGAAAAACAAGTCTACAAAACACTACAAAGAAAACTCAAGACGATTAAGCAACACGAACCTATCCAAATCCGGGGGTGATATCATGTGCATCGGAAGGGTAAGTAGATCATGTTCCAATGCGACACCCATCATGTTTCTCAAATCAAGTTAAAATCAGTGATTAGTAAATATGTGATTTCACAATAGAGGAAAACCGGGCAGGATTGTGACCACGACAATTAAAACATATCAGTGGACATCTGTGACACAAATATATCAACTCAAAATCGCGTTTTATATTATGTAAAATGTAGCCTTTGGATTCTTTTTAGAGCTCATTCGCTCATCATTCATCCTTTATCAAAATGTTACTTCATCATGATTAATTTGCATCAACAATTTGATATCTCATGATAAAATTAATGAGATTTTTTTTAAACCATTTTTACACATATTGCTGTTGAAAAAGAAACTTCTTGCGCGAACAAAAGTTTTACATGAAATAAACCCCCCTCCCCCTCATTACGCTTTCATTTAAAAATAGTTTATTATATTACTGATATTGCTAAACATATTCAATCGTGAGATATCTTCTATGTTAAAATTATAACTTGACGTCATTCGTTAGTAAGGTGGTTCTGTCTCTGATTGTCTTTTTGCTCCACATCTTGGTATGAAGCTATACGTGTCAGTCGATACCCACGCCATCTTGATATAATTACTGAATAATAGTTAGTTTTGATTGGTTATTGGTATCATGGCTTTTATTTAGAAAGGGGAGCCTGAATAAATTATATATGGACTGTACCGAGAGAATGGGATTTCGAGACACGATCGATGAATATGCTGCTGTAGGATCACATATTGTTGGATAAGCGCTGCCTTTGCTTAAATCTGCATAACACATTAGTTTTATTTCATTAGTTCCTATGTATGATGTGTATATTGTTAATATCATATCATCAGTCATTACATATAGTATACCAAGAAATGTTAGCTCTGGTAACTGATAAGTTTACTCGATGCCGACTAATATGTAAGTTTGTTAAGTTATTCAAAAACTACATCATCATACAATTTAGAAAGTATGAATCTAAAACGGTACTTTTAAAAACAGTACATCAAAACAACCAACACAAAAGTATATAACGTCAACATTGAAGGTGTAACCCTAATTAAAAAGCATAACTTTATGGGTTTCTCTCGCTGTGTACTTTGTGTGATGATGTACTCGACAGTAATAATTTACTTGTACCTGACAGAAATAATTTATGAGAGATAGAGTAGAAATACAGTCAGAATTAAAGGTATCGCCAGTCATGAGATCCGATTGATGTAACCTCCTTCGCCTAATGAATAATTTGTGAATGTATCTATCTTGTGAAACATTTTCTTTCGAATGTTTAACCTATATCCTGTTAGACCGTACTTTGTATCCTATCAAAAAATACTTCTGATAAAAAAAAATAGAAAACCTTACATAGTTTTGTAAACCACCCCATTAAAAAGGCCGGCGTTAATTGATAATACTGCAAAGCACACCATACCTTTTAGGAAAGGTTAAACTTGTTCTCTTTTATGTTTATAATTGCGTGTAGTGGTACATTGTAATGGCAAAGATATTTACCTCAAATTGAATGTGCTGTTGTTAGTTCTAAGAAGTATCAATCTCCTATGCACCCGTGAATATGGTGACATCTGAAAAAAATAGGTTGGATCTTATCGTAATTAAATTGCATAACATATACATTAACATAGAAAAAACTATCAGCGGTGCCGACTTGGATTGCAAGACAACAACAGCAAGACAACATCAATGAAAACGCCCGCAGGATATGTATAGTTTTAATTAATAATTAATTTTCTTTAAGATATACAGTGCGCTGTCTCTCACAATGTCTAAGTATTTTAAATTGTTTTCAAAAGACATAAATATGGTTTTTATTTCTATAAACTATAAATAACAAAACTTAATTTTCATTGTCCTTACATTTGCATTCGGATATACATCTTTTGCCATCAAATTTATTACTGCATTCTCTACATGGTTGACCTACATCTGAGGTAAATCCAGTTTCACATCCTAAAGTATGAAAAAAAAAATAGATGTATGGAGGGAAAATCCGAAAAGGGAGAAAACAGAACTCAAAACATCACCAATAAAGCTGGTTGACTTTTCGGTCAATCATTTACGTGTTGGTTTCCAAATTGCCATTGCCTTGACGCCGACACATCCGTTGATAAGAAGAAACCCAACTTTCATTGCATACCACATGATTTGAACATTAAGATGACGTAATCCATTCAACTTTCAAACTGCAAATTTTATAGACAGTGAAGTAATGAAGGAAATTTCTGTTTGTATATTTATCTTATATGTAATGCCTTCTTTTTTGGAAAAGAAAATTAAAAAGTTGTGCTTTTAACGTCCGTCATTATAAAGAGGGTTGAAAACTGCAGTTTTGATATATTTTTTTTCATATTGAGTAAGCTAGTGTCAAAAAATTAATAAGGACATTCTTTACCAAATCGTAATCATTTCAGAAGTAATAGAGAGGCGAAAGATACCAAAGGGACATTCAAGCTCATAAGTCGAAAATAAACTGACAACGGCATGACTAAAAAACAAAAAAGACCTACAGACAAACAACAGTACACAAAACACAGCATTAAAAACTAAATACACAAACCCCGTCAAATACTGTGGGTGATTTCAGGTGCTCCAACAGGGTAAGCAGATCCTGCTCCATATGTGACACTTGTCGTGTTGCTCATTTTAGCACAAACCACATGATAAGTCTAAATCGGTAGGTCACATTCGTGCTCATGGCCAACATGCCTGTGTTCCCTAAGAAAAGGGACCATTCTTTTTTATGAAACAAAGCAGGACCAACTCTTTCAATTTGTCTTTTAGTTTTGAATGGGGAATACTTTGTAAAGTGTAGAAAAGTCAAATGTTTTAATACAATTGCAAGATGAAAGAGTCTTAGATTGTATGTACTCTCAGAGAACTTTTGAATTTTTAGTATCCACTTCTGAGTCATGGCACCTCTTGAATAGGTACAATAACTTTGAAGCCTGGCTTTGATTGCATATGAAATTGATGGAAAATGATTTAGAAAGAGGTTTTGTGGATCACTTGGAAGACCCAGCAATGTACCGTTGTTTGTAATGACACTTAATTATATGTAGTTTAGGTATCCAATACAGTTCAGCTTAAGGCCTCCCCTGAACATTTGAAGGTCACCAATATGTATTGATTACCTAAACTACATAAAAAAAAGACCGTAAAATATCGTTTCATCTTGGCCTTTAGTAAGTGTTCTACAACTAAATTTTCGGTGCTTTTAACGAGTTCCTTAACTACTATCAAAGAACTTATCGTTAACTTTTGTAATAAAACATATGAAAACAGTGGAATTAACCATTTTTGGAGTGTAATAAAATCTAAGGATGTTTTAGATAAATTACATGCTTTTGATGGTCCTTTTGATTCGGTTGGCAGTTTTGACTTTTCCACTCTTTATACTACACTTCCACACAATCTTATCAAACAAAAGTTTTCCTATCTAATTACTAGTAAATGGTCGTTTGATAAATCTGGTTGAAAATTTATTTGCTGCAGCTCATATTAAGCCGTTTTCTCTGATGAGAAAGGTAAATATGCTAGATATACTCACTAGAGGTGTGATGACATGATTAAAGCTAAATTTTCTCCTTGACAACGTGTATGTACTTTTCGACAAGTTGTAGGTATTCCTATGGGCACCAATTGTGCCCCTTTAATAGCAGACTTGTTCCTTTACTGTTATGAATCACAGTTTATGACCAAACTCAGTAAAGAACCGTCTAAATTCCATTTAATTGATAAATTCAACAACACTTACCGTTATCTTGGTGATAATTTTTCGTTAAATAATTCTTTAAATATACTGCTGAAATTTACCCAAAGGAACTTACTTTAAATAAATCAAATATTAACAGCAATAACTGTCCCTTCCTAGATTTAGATATTTCAGTATTACACCAGAAACTCTACAAACAAATTTACGACAAAAGGGAATGATTTTTCTTTCCCTATTGTTAATTTTCCCTTTTGGACGGTGATGTTCCTTTGGCACCATCTTACGGTGTTTATATATCCCAACTCGTTTGCTATGCACGTGTCTGTAGTGACATTTTGGATAACAATGAGCGTAATCTATGTATTGCTAGTAAATTATTAAGTCAGGGATTTCGTTACCACAAATTATCTAAAACCATTACTAAATACTTCCATAGATACAAAGATTGCTAGTTTGGCTGTACCTGTAGAAAACTTATTTCAAACGGAATAGCACATCATAAATTTAACGGTGATGTTGTAAACCGAGCCCGGAAATGAAGATACGATCCGGGTAAACTAATCAATCATTTAAATAAATTTATTCTAAAAGGTTACCTATTCAACACTGTAGTTACATCTTTGAATATTGATTTTGTTATCAGTACATTAAAACCATACAATATATTACACATATGCACTTTCACGATACTACAATCTGTCGATACCTATAGTTTGACATTGCACAAGGTGATGTTTTTCTCTGACTGTAAATGACGTCTTTACGCTAAATCCATTGGAAGTTTGATGTGTACTGATATTTTAGTCTTAGATACATGATTTTTTTTATTATTTGTTATTGGCTTGGAACTAGCTGCCAGTAACTGCGAGTACTCATAGATCTGTACTTAGTGTCTTTTAGTTGTGGGGATGTTTAAGTACCCGTCCATTCCCACTCTGTGTTTATGTTAAATGTATTTCTATTTGTATCTATCTGATGTGTTAAGAATTTTTCAACTGATTTTTATAGTTTGTTCTTATGTTGTACTTTTACACCATTGTCCCGGGTTAGGGGGAGGATTAAGCGCTCACAAATATGTTTAACACCGCCACATTCTGTATGTGCCTGTCCCAAGTCAGGAGCCTGTAGTTCAGTGGTTGTCGTTGGTTCATGTCTGTCATATTTGTTTTTCGTAAAATGCTTTGTTATAAATTAGGCCGTTTGTTTTCTCAATTTAATTGTTTCATATTTTCATGTCGGGGCCTTTTATAGCCGACCATACGGTGTGGGTTTTTCTAATTGTTGAAGGCCGTACGGTTGCCTATAATTGCTTATTTCAGTTTGAACACGATCATACTGAAGAATTGGTATAATGACATTATCCCCGCACAGCAAGTTCCGCTAATTTTCGTTTTGTTTTCTTGGATAGATATTCAGCTTGGATCTGTTGACCAGACAGTGAACGCGTCCTAGCACGTATGATTGGTGTTTCAACGTCAGTGTCATCCTGATTGTCACTGGGGCCAATTTCTATCATACTATCAGAATTGTCACTGCGGCCAATTTCTATCATACTACCAGAATTGTCACTGGGGCCAATTTATATTATACTATTATCAGAGTTGTCACTGGGACCAATTTATATTATACGATCAGAATTAACTTGCATGCATGTATCAATTACATTTCCTGTTTTCATCTGGCTATTGTTTTGTATTTTGTAATTTACCAAGAAAACGAGACAGTAATTATCAGAACTTTTTGTTTGGGTTTAATATCATTATACATATTCCTCCGTATGATCGTGCCATAGCTGATCCTCGAAATATCTGAGCGTAATTGCAGAATTTGGAGATTTTCGGTATCAAATTGGAACAGTTGTATGAAGGTCAACTTGAAGTTGTTGAAGACACGTGTCTATTCACACCAATGGTGTGCTTCAACGTTCGCTAGTTAAAAAGCCTTTTAAACAGATTGTCATGGTTTTTTTCTTTATGTAACTGCAAAGGAAGGTACAACACTTCTAAATGTAAATGTGAAAGTCAGAAGATTTTGTGCAAATCCCGATGCCATAATTCACTCACCTGCTCAAACGAATAATAAAGAACTACATTTGTATTTTGTAAATAAGGTGTACTATGTGGTCATTTAATAGGAATTCTAAAGTGTGTATATCAATGCTGTTTTTCACCAAAATTCATATTATAAATTATTGTACAAGTTATAGGTGAATTTTCGTCAAATTTTGTACAAATTGTAATTTGTACAGGCACTTTTTGTACAAATTACTATTTGTACAAAGTCAAAATACAAATTATAATTTGTACATCTTTTTTGTACAAATTATAATTTGTACAAAATGATAACTTGTACACAACATATATATTGATTAGGTGATGTTTTGATAAAAATTAAATTATATATACAATTTGCCAGGTTGTATTAAAAATGTCTTCTACATCAATGTAAAGCGCTCAATAAAATTATATATCTATAGATATATATATTTGTATCATTGTTGTACAATCGTTAAGTGTATGTTTAAATCTCAATATTCGCATAGTGATGTGATAGAAGAATTTGTCTGCACCCCTTTGATAATTTATAGGTCACACAATATACTACATAAGATCAGTATGAGAAAGGTGATGAACTAGATGAAATTCTTCCATCAAAGTGAATGTAATATGTAAATGTATTTGTTGTATGATCTATACTAGCTAATTACAATCTTAAGCTTCTGTACCATTCGTTTTTTGTAAACTGTTTTGTTATAGATTAGGCCGTTAGTTTTCTCAATTGAATTGTGTCATATTTTCATGTCGGGGCCTTTTATAGCGACCATACGGTATGGGTTTTTCTCACTGTTGAAGGCCTTACGGTTGTCTATAATTGCTTACATCCACTTCATTTAAACTTTTGTGGATAGTTGTCTCATTGGAAATCATACCACATCTAATTTTTATATTTACGTTTAAGCTTCAAAAGGTGTGAATTAAGGGCAATGCGATCAAACTTTCCACAGCTCTGAGTTGCCAAAATACACATATACAACACGCCGTGTAAATTTTCGGGACGGTACTGCTTCGTCTGTCACGATTCATTGTAAACAATATGCCCACACGCGAGAGATCAATAAACAAGAGCAAGGTGAGAAGTTTTATTGAATAAAAGGCTAACTTACCGACACACTTTCCATCTTTTTCTTCAAAATCATAACAACAATAATATTGACTGCAAAACAAAGCAACACATATTTATGGATTGCATGCATCTTTTTTTTTTAATTGGAATGTAAAAGCGTTGAATGCATGTTTTGTGTGAAGTGCGAACGGGAAAGCAAGATTTCAGAATGATGATGGGAATGTGAAGTGATGATGGCAATGTTATATAGTAAGCTCTAGTAATAAACAATACTTTTATATATTAATGAATACATATATATACACGTTTTAAAAGGTTTCCACTTTGATCATTGGTTAATGGCATGTTTTTAATATTTTATTTAAGCAGAATCAGGACATTTATAATAGAAGTGGCTTAATCTTCACTACTAGCCCAACAAAGACATGGTGAATCGGAAACATTATATGGAGATCATAATTCAAAAGAAAACCTAAATATTAACATTCCTGATTTGACACAATAACCCACATATACCAGTATCCGAAAAACTTACAATGTATCCACATGACGGTCTAATACTAGTAAAAAGACAAATACCGCTTTAACAGAAAAAGAAAAAAAACAAACAAAACAAAAAGACATTGTTATAAACAATTTATCCATTTTATTTACGGCCTTTTACCTATATATCTTTATCATATGTCCAAATTAAATGTATCAGGGCCTTCATATTTTAAAGATAATTTCATCTACAATACGACTTGCTTGTAGTAGTAAAGCACTGCAACTTACCTCGAAGTAACATTCAAACAAGCATGAGGCATTTCTTCTAGACACTTGGCAAAAAACAATAAACATAGAAAGATTAACTTTAATATCATTTTATGTTCAATGGTTAAAATGTTGATGCTAGTTTTCACTGAGCTAGCCACTCAAGTACCAGGAAAGAGGAAATTAATTGTCGTTGTTAAAAATCAATCTCTACACCGGATATATATATTATTGTGCTCTTTGGAAAATTTATCATTTTAATTTATTAGGACAATAAGTGGAATTTCAGAAAAACGCGATGGTGATTAATTGTTACGCGATGTACGTCAAAACTAAATAGTGTATGTATATATATATAAACAAGTCTAAATTGAAACAACGTTCAAACCTATGATTGCGTTGGATAAAAACCGCAATTTTTATACGTGTGCATGCAAAACAAATTTCTTGTTAGAGGGGTCTAAATACAGCACAAACAACATTTTCCAAAAGACAAAAAAGGGAAAAAATATATTTTAACAAAACGCATTTGACTAACAGGTCCTATATATATATATATATATATATATATATATACAAATACATACCAGGTCACAGTTTTGTTACAGAAATGCGCTCTACGAATATCGCAAATGTAAGTAGTAACATATATTTGCGGAACTGAGAGCAAACTCAAACCTTATTTGACATTCTTTGAATCAAGAATACTTGTTTTGTCTTTGTCAGAAGAAACATTACGATGCAGTTTCTTTTATTGCATTAAATTTGACCGAGACCTTTCTCTTTCAAAATTTTATAGCTCCTGTATGCTCTCGGTTTGCATCCCACAAAGTCAATCTTTATATATAATATCACAACATTTTACAATAATAAAATTGAAAATCTTATGCGGATAGAGGAGTTCCAATAACAAATTAATTTAGCCCAAAACGATAACAGTGAATTAAAAAAAATCTGTTTAAATCAATAGCCAAAATTTAAACCTTCCAAACAGTAATTAAATAAGAATATTTAAACATGAACATTTTAAACGGAAATTCATAAGAGCAACATGTCAACCTATCCGGGCAAATTTTTCTGGCTCAGAGCTGACAAGAGTCGTTACTCAGTACATGCAACGTGCTGAGGGAATAAGCAGCAAATACCAATTGTCAAAAGTCTTAGGTTTGACCCTGCTGTGATCGAACCACGACCTCCCGCACTCATCGTGTACACACTTCAACTTGGCAACCGAGGTGGTTTAACAAAATAACAGTAAACATCTCTTAATATGTGTCAATATGTTAACATAAAAACTATTGTCTTCTCAGTATAAAGATCAAACTCGTCTTTCTGTTTCTTTTTGGTCTTGTTAGCATGTAAATAAACAAAATAAATCCCTTTGGAAGTATCAAGGACTAACAAAAAACTAGATTTAACAGTCTGTTATTCTCAGCATAGAGCAATCATTGGCATATTTTCAACACGCATATTACATGTTTTAGAACAAGAAAGGCTCTAAGAAGAAATTTGAAAAACTTTACTGATCATGCGCTTTCATCCTTTGAATGAGCTTTCATTTTGAAGAAGATTTTTTTACGCACGTCTTTGCAGTGAAAACGCTTGGTTGTCTTTAACAGAACATGATATTTTCAGTCTTATTAGGGAGCAACCATTTAACTTCAAGGAGGTGGGGCTTTGGTTTTTTTGTCTGAGTCAGACATTTTTTTTCGCGCAAAGCGCCAAGTGAAGCTATCAATCAAATTATTTTGTTTTCAAAATTTAACACTATAAGGTATTGGGAAAATCTGGATTCAGAATATTTTTCTTTTGTCATCTGCTTAACCGCAATATTTTTTTCATCAAATTGGGGATCAGAATACTTTTCTTATGAATAAACCATAACCCCCCCCCCCTTTCCACACACCCTTGAAGTTAAATGGTCGTTCCCTTATGCTGTTATGATTCCAAAATATGTATACAGGGGCGGATCCATCCAAACATATGTCCCTATTCAAAAACATTGATCGTCAAAAAAAGGTGGGCTCTAACCCCCGGACCCCCCCCCCCCCTTTGAAATACTAATAGTCCCAGATAAATGGGGTCGAAATTTTTGACATTTACCTAAAATTTTGGTTTCTTGGACATTTCTATCGTTTGGATAAACATAATTTACTTGTTTGTTTCAAAAGATAAACACATGCGGATTTTTGTAAAACGATTTGGAATATATTCTTTACAAAAGTTTTATCTTAAGTTGTGAAACAAATATTTGGAAATAGGCCTAATTCATTTTTTATTATATTTTCAAGACATTTTTTGCTGTATATTTATCGGTGATTTTTTTCACTAAATGTGGAATACATTTTAAAAAGAGGGGTCCATGTACTCGTTTTCAAGCTATGGATTAAAATCACTCAAAAAATGCAAATTTTCTCGATATGTCGAAGTTTGACGTCGCGAAAATGTACATTTTACGTTAGCAACGTCATTGCCTCCCCTGTAACTGCATGTATCCACATTGGCTGTGCCGGAGGGACACATATGTCCATGTTTTAATGTATGCAAGCTTCTCATCATTGCTGTTTCTCTATCAAATGAAATACCGAAGAGTCATCAGTGTAATATTTTTCTTAAAACATGTCAAATGGTCCCAAATGTAACGTACTATGGGTTTGAGGCTGTCATATTTTCTGGCACACGAACTGCAACCATATAAACTACCGCCAGCAAGACTAGAGGGTTAAGTTCCAGTAGAAGTCACCACAAATCAGTTCTTGCACCTATAAATTTGATGAAGTTTTTCTAATTCCCAATGTATATATTTACAAACCTGTAGATGTAACTTTTCTAAGGGTGTTTTATAAATGAAATATAAAGGTTTCAATTGTTTTCCTGAATTATTAGCTCAGAATCTAATTTCTGGTCAGAGTTGGATTACTCCGGGATAACAAACCCCGGTGCCGGGATGTCAATCCATATTTTAGCATCATTATATTTTTCTCCAAAATCTTATTCCAAATCATTTTGAACCCCAGAGAAATATATTATTTCTACCTTTGACACATTCCAATTCGAAACAAAAATGAATCGAAAAATAAAAAGGATATACACATTTTGATAAACAACTCAGAAATTTTCGGGATTCAGTCAACTGGTCAAATCTTTATACTTCCTGCTTCATGTCTAAGTTGTGGCATTGCAAAAATACTTTTAAAAATTATTTTTAAAATTACTGAAGCTTTTTAACTTTTTTTTATTTATTTTGGATTCGAAGATAAGCTATACAGAATATATGCGAAGATAAGCCATACAGAATATATGATAGTAATATACATTAAACAAAGTGGCCAGTTTCAAATAATATATATATGTTTCGGGTCCGCGTGTAGGTCTTTAGTGTGGGTCGGTCTTTTCACCACCGAACACCACCGCACACCGCCGAACACCCAAAAAGACCACTAACCCTTAAGAAAAACAGTAATGTTACACAATAAAACAATAAAATCGATTAAATTACGTAAAATTAAATCATATACCTCATGTTTTCACATTTTTATGTGCATTAGTGATGTTAAAGTTGAGGGAGCTGATGGGTTATTTTCGTCCTTCGTGATCGAGGTATTTTGCTTGCCGTGATTCGTTTTTGCATTGATTTATTGTCCGTGACTCGTGATAAGTGCATTTTTCGTGACTCGTCTTCGATTAAATTTTATTTACGTTCTCCGTGATGGAGGTGTTAAATCGTCGTTTTTCGTGAACAGTTTTGTGGTATTACAATAGAAAAAAGTAGAATCACAAAAATACTGAACTCCGAGGAAAATTCAAAACGGAAAGTCCCGAATCAAATGGCAAAATTAAAAGCTCAAACACATCAAACGAAACCACCCTAATTTATCTTAATAGTTGTCGTTCTTAAACTCTATTTATATAGGTCTGCATGTTACTATTTGAAGCAATTTACGGAAACCAGTCGCTAAAGTTTAAGTAGCGCGGAGCTGGTTCCTGGTAGTTTGATCAGGTTTCAGTGTATGATTATGACTCCGATTTTGCAAATGAACATGTAGAAATGAGACCTATTTTTGACCCCAGCTTGTTTCTATTTTATTTATGAAAGGGGCTATAAGTAGAAGTAAGACTATAAGCCTTGGCGTAGCTTACGTTGCGGCAACCGAGACACAAGCCTCATTAAATAATAATAAGAATAATAAAAACAACTTTTTTTTTATATTCTTTTAATCAATTTTCCAAAAATGCAAAAGACACCCTACTTAACGTTTAAACCCTCGCAAAGGGTATAAGCGTCAGAGGAAAAGACTGATGGAAACATGTACATCTCCATGCATCCCCTAATTGGAAATCACTACCCCTTTGCGGTAGTTTTTAGTAATTCGAATATGTCGGAGTCAGAGAAATCGACACAATAAAAGCTGACAAATTTCTATCTGTCTATATCCTACCCCAAGCAAAATTAATTTGAAAAATTTCTAGTAGCCTATATTTTGGACTTGGTGAGGTTTAGAAAATACACAAAAATGCCCAGAAATTAATTCAAACTTTTAAGAACAGAGGTTTAAGATGGTGTTAAAATATAAAAGAAAGGAAATCAAATTATGGATAACAAGAATTAATAATGAATATTTGAAGACCCCATTCTGAAAATCCTCATATATAACCGGTAAAGTCTAAAATTTAAACATCGTTGTGTGTTGACATTTACTACGTGTACACAGGGGTTTGTTACTATTTGACAGTTTTACTATCCATGGGAACCCCTAAACATCGCTAGTCTGCTGATACGGTTTCTTGGTGGATTCACAGATGTATTATTGTCTTGCTGTGTCATTAAGTATACCCCATATCTATCTCCTTTAATTCATAAAGAATTAAAACCTAGGAAATTCACTGCCATTATTCAATTTGGAAAAAAGTGGTAAATGTTTTGAGAACATTTATATATTCATTTGAACATTGAAAATGATATTGGTACTTGTAATCAACTCATAGATCTGTAGTATAACTTTAATAGCGTAAGACATTATTAACATTATTATGATGAAATAAAATAAAGCAACTCCTATCGTTAACTACTAATAGATTCTTTTTGTTCAAATTGCAAAACCTCTACAGCTTATGGGAAGCTTCGCCCTGTTTCTCACTGTCTCAAATTGATGGA